TCAATTTGAGTTTTCCCGGCACTTGACTGATTTTGTATCGCTTTGCATTCTGGGTTAACAGACTGGAAAGCGATAGGTCGCTTTTTCTGTCAATCAAGTAAACTCCTGAATTAAGTGGCATGGAGGCAAAGGGAGGAGGGATCAAAACCTGTTTTGTCTATTTTAACGAATGAATGACTCGCGATCTACCGACGTACTGGGCACCTCTGCATTAAAGCATTTGTGTTGGTACTATGTGTTGGAGTGCTAGCCAATAGAAGCTGAAGGCAGGGGGGAGTGTGTGGGAGGGAAACTCCCTCTAGATGGAGCACATGTAATCTGGAGATGACAGATGGACGTGCGGAGCTTTCTGTTGCTCACCTTTAGCTCTCCTTTGGCCACTCTGATGGCCAGCTCCACCACGCTGCCTGCTGCCATGCGTGACGCCGTTGAAGTGTGCGACTCGTTCCAGATGGTGTCATTATCAACCTGCCAAATGTGAGAGACAAATGATGAAGGCCACTGAGTGACTGAATAAAAACAAACAGTGTGGACATATTTATAATATCTGATCCCTGTGGGACAATAACAGAAAACTGAAGGCTTTCTCTTGGACAAGGAGGACCAATCACACAGATGTGGGGTCCAGATCAAAAGAAATCCTTTTTTATTTTGTGTCTCTTTATTTGTTCACAAACTAGCATATAGCACATCTGGCTTTGACAATGAAATCTGAGGCATTCATTTTATCCCCGGTCACGGACATGTTGCTCTCATTAGTTCTGAGTTGTCATGGTCCGACACGGACTGTCAGCCAAACATAAGCCAACTCTCTTTTCCTCTTTCCTTTCCTTTCTGTTTCTCTCTCTTGTCTGTTGCTTTGCTTTGAAGAAATGTCATCTTTCATCAATGCAGTTTTGCATAGCTTTCATTAAGAGCTTTTGAGAATAACAGTATGATCAAAAATAGATTCATATGTGTGTTTTTAGCGCTGGATGAGGCAATATTTCCCATTGACTCAGACATGCAATGTAAATAACCCCAAGAGCATGCAAAGCACATGGAAATGTGTGTGTGTGTGTGTGTGTGTGTGTGTGTGTGTGTGTGTGTGTGTGTGTGTGTGTGTGTGTGTGTGTGTGTGTTTTCTCTTACCCCTACTCCCCCACATGGTAACATCACAAACATCCTTTGAGAGAGGATTCCTGAGAAAACAGAAACATAAAACATTTTAAGTGTATTCAGACTTTCTCATTTATATATTTTATGGTTTTCTACATTATTGTTTTATGTCAAGAAGACAGTTGTGAATAAAGTACTGCATTCATACTCTTAGTTAAGACAACATTGTTGAAGTACAACAAGTATATACACTAATTCGGCACAACAGCCAATTATATATATTATATTACTGGATTTTATAATACAATGCATTAATGTGTCAGTTTGTTAAGGTAAAGCATATTTTTACAATTTTGTATCTACTTACTCAAGAATGGTTTTAGCTTAATCGATAATATTTCATGATCAATTTTTCTTATGTTGTTTTGTTAGCATAAAGAATGAAAAAGGTAAGAGTAAGAGTCTGATGGATAATAATAATAATATAATATTTTAATAAGATGAATCCTTTATCGTTCATCAGAGCTCTGTCTGGGAAGTGAGGCACTAGTTACTAACACATTAAGACATGAAGTATCAGTGTGAGGGTCTGCGTACCGGCCAGTTTGCGGTTGTCCAGTTTGAGCCTGTTGAGCGGGTTGGTGCCGTAGAGCAACACGTGGCGCTCAGTGTGGACCGACTGCAGCTCCTCCAGAGTGGCTTTGCGACCACGAATAGTCTGTATGAACACAACAGTTGAGGTTGACGTTAGTAATATAAACGTGACATAACATAAGCCATCATATTATGCATATCAATGATGTCAAAATAATAATGTTAAACTAGACAGAAAGCAAGATTATCTTTCAACCTCTCTATTTTCAGACAGATATATACAATTCGATTTTCTCAGAAGTTTCTGGTCGTACCTCACACTGCCCCCTCAGGCCTCTCTCCTGCAGTCTGGACCAGATGCTCTGTATCCTCCCAGCATGCTCTGGGTGACTGCTGTTGTCTCCACATGTACACTGGTGCTTCAGCATCTGAGAGTCATAAACCAGGCCTGCACACACACAAAATCTGAATTAATTTCCACATTCATTTTGTACAAGCAATATAGAGTATATTGAAGTTGCGATAGGTGACATTATTTCCTATATATTCATAGTTTAGCATATTTTTTGGCATTCAAAGCAGAGTTTTTTCAGAACAAAATAAAATGTATTTATTTATCATTATTATTATTATTATTGCGATAATTATTTGGGACGTCATTTTTTTAGGATGGGTAAAAACAAGCTACAACGTCCATATTCACACCCTGAATGCAGTTATCTAATCTGTTATGAAACCCCTGAGCCATAGGGTCACCCAGATTTAAATATATTTAACAAAATCATATAATTATGTATTTTATTACCATATATTAACATATGTGACTCACCGGTGGTGAAGCGTGTTTTGCTGCTGGTCTCCTGTGCAGTTAGGCTCAGGGTTTTCTCAGGCAGAGTAAGACAGGTGGAGGCCGGGGATGACTGTGTACGTGACAGGGGGCGATGGAGCCCCAACCCACTGCCAACCCCCCCACCGCCGCGTAACATGGGCACTGCCAGGGTCTCCATCTGTCGATGCAGCTGCTGCAGCTGCTTCTGCTGCTCCCACAGCAACGACTACAAGAAGAGCAAGCGTGATACAGATGAAAAAGATTCAAGTCATAAATACAAATATAACCTAATAACATAAAAATAATACGAGATACAGTTAATATGAAAGTGTAGAACAGAAACAGTTAAAATGTTGTTCTTCTTAACCTGGAGTGGCCACATTCATATGTAGGTTTTAAACTAAATGTGGACTTTATTAAGTGAAATTATCTCTGTCTTGCTTTCTGGCACAGAAAGCAATATTTGATCATTTGTGTTTTAACTTCACTTTGTGTGGCCTCTTAGACTATGCATGGTATTAGAGTTCAAAAGTATTACATTATTTAAATTGAAATTGATTCTAACAGCAGCAGATACAGAAACACTTATAAGTATGTGGGCCCACCAATAAAATACTAATGTGAAATATTTACCTGTCTGTAAGCGCTGCATAGTAATGTTGATGGACACTTTTATACATTTCTATGATAAATGGTTTGTTTGTGTCTAAAAACACAAATTCCTGCTAGTGATAATGGTACAGAACTATGTATTTACTAAGGCTTGGCCAATGACGCCTTACATTTTTCTGTATGGCCAAACATCTGAAGGTTTGGCCACCTCTGAATGTTATGAGGATAACATTGAGTTCCATCGCTACACATGTGGCATGCAGCTGTACATGGCTCTCTAAGTGATCCGTATTCAAGACTGATATACAGTGCTGGAAGCCACATAACTCCCTCCAGCTTAATGTCAATAAAATCTCAGATGGTTTTATTCAGCCGCTCTGATCTGACCTGCTCCATCGAGAGCAGTCTGAATCTGTCAATATCAAGTTGCTCTGAATCTGGAAGTCATTTTTCTCCCTTGAAAACAGGTTACTAAAACTATTCACTAGCTTCCAACACAGCCTGATCCTCACTGTCTGGTTTTTCCGATCAGTGACTGACACATTTTATGAAAGAGTAACAGTAACCTGTATCCATACCATGCTGAAATAACCACTTTGATGTAATGAGTGCTTGTCAAACCACAGAACCATGGAAGAGTATCATGCTGGTGTTAGGCTGCCACCTACAGGACAGTTTGATGAAGAGCAGGTGGAGTTTCATTTCTGTGTAGCTCATGAGATACTAACCTGGTTGAGTATGAGTGCATGTTGCAGGTTCAGTTGCTCTTCCTGGCTCTTGGATGCTGTTGACTCCGCCTCCCTCAGGGACTCCGCCCTCACTCTGCTCTGATAATTTGGCTCTGTGGGTGGCGTCTCTCCGCCGTCCTCTGAGTCCATGTCCTCAGAGGGGATCTGATGCAGCCGGGGCTTCTCGCTGGACTTAGACATCAGCTACAGATTGAAAAAAGGAACATTTTATTTAAATAACACTTTCAAAAACAGTTAACAATTCCTTCGAAAGACAAAGCAAAGCAAAGGCAGTCTAAAAGGCAATATTCAGGATGTATCATCGCTGTATTTAAGGTGCACATGTTGGCAAGAGTTTGAGTCGTTCCTTCTATTTTGAAAGTTCAATCATAGTTCCTTAAATAAGTCTATCAAATGTGATAGACACACACAGGGCCACACATAGGGCCACACATGTTATAGACACACATGGGGCCACACATGTTATCTGTGTGGCCCTATTACCGAAACAACAACTTTTAACCCCAAGGTTATTGCATAATAATTATGCCTTTTATTATTACTGTCTTTCAGTACAGAGTCCTGCCTTCAAACTTATAGTCTGCCATTTTCAGATTGTTTCCCAATTACAATACTGGCATTTAATATTTATTAAAAAAATTGTTTTAACCAATAACCACAGTGATATATGTAAACAAACTGCCAGTTAAAGGGTTACAATTTGAAAATGATTAATTTGCCTCCCATTCCCTATGAATAACTCAGATATGATCAGAGCCCTTTTTAAACACATTTCCCATTAATGCCATCGGGTCATAGATACAGGACCCTCTGAAGATATTCTTAATGTGTGTCAAAGAATAGATTTCAAAAACTGCTGCTGGTTTATAAAGCATTGAATGGTTTAGGCCCAAAATACATTTCTGACCTCCTGCTAAATTATGAACCATCCAGAACTCTCAGGTCTTCAGGGACTGGTCAGCTTTCTGTCCCCAGAGTCAGAACTAAACATGGAGAAGCAGCGCTCAGTTATTATGCTCCAAATATCTGGAACAAACTACCAGAAACCTGCAGGTCCGCTGCAACTCTTACTACTTTTAAATCCAGGCTGAAGACTTTTCTTTTTGCTGCTGCTTTTAATTGAACTATTCATATCTTAAACTGCACTGTAACTTTTATTATCTTTGCTTTTTATCTTTGCTTTTAAATGAGTGTTTTTACATGTCATTTTATATCACTGCTTTTAAAAGAGTGTTTCTAGATATCATTTTATAATATGTTTCTTAATGCTCTTAATGTCTTTCACTTTTGTAAAGCACTTTGAATTGCCTTGTTCTTGAAAGGTGCTATATAAATCAACTTGCCTTGCCTTGCCTTGCCTTGCCTTGCCTTGCCTAATGTGCAAGTGTGAGGGACATTCATTGATATTTGTAGATTTGACCATGTGTATGTTTTACGTATTTCTGTATGGAATTTGTAAAAGATGGGAAAACTAATTACCCTCTGGGACAATAAAGACTATTTCTTAAAACGTTTTTTTGATTATTCTTCATGGGTTTGTGTATTCACTACTCCATACCTTGCCCAGGTGAGATAGCCTCTCCAGTAGTTGTGTGTTGTGCTGCTGTTGGAGGAGATGTGAGTGAAGGGTCCGCGTGCTCTGGGGGAGGGGCTCCGAGCGTGTTCGGCTCAGGGGCTTGTGAGGATGAGCGCCTCCAGAGGCCATGTGATCTAACTGGGGGGCGAACTGTAGTGGGACGGAGTCTAAGCCTTGAACTGGTCGAAGACAAAAAGGAGAAGAAACCAAATCAGTTTCTGCAAATGGAAACAGAGTAACATGTATGTACACAGACATGAACAACCAATGGGTATAGCAATGTAAAAATTGCACCTGCTGCCTTGTAAATCAATTGAATTGAATCTTCTTTATTTACCTTTCAATATAATATATTTCAAAATATAACAGATCATTTTACTTACTATGTGTTGCTTTGTCAAAAAGTAGTTACCACTAGTAACCACTAGACAGTGCTCTAAAACCTGAGACAATAGTGAGAGTAGACTCATGTATAACTTTCCCTTTGTGGCTATTAACATTTTGTATTGTATCTTTTTCGTGTGCACTTAATCCTACTCTGATATTAACATCTGTTATAGAATGCAAACATATTGTTTCCTTATCAGAGTTTCAACATCCTAAACTGGTGAGCTTCTGGCAGTATACATACAGTATTTGGTGTGCAGTAGACTGATGTGTGTTTGTTGTCTCACCTGTGAGAAGCGGAGTGTGTACCAGTCCCGAGGACTCCAGGATGATGACAGGCAGATGAGGGTTCAGCTGCCCAGCCTGGTCCTCTCTGCTCAGGGGGAGGTAGACCGTTGAGCCCCCGGCTGTAACTACGGGCACACGGCCCAGCCTGAGAGAGGACATCTCTCCTTCAGCCTGCACACACAGATAAACAGTTTTTATAGCAACAGATCACTTTCTTTTCTTATCAAGCTCCACTTTTGTGGAATCAGCTTCCAGTTTGTGTTCGGGCGGCAGACACCCTATCCGTTTTTAAGAGTGCGCTTAAGACCTTCCTTTTTGATAAAGCTTATAGTTAGGGCTGATTAGATTCAGCCCCTAGTTTTGCTGATATAGGCTTAGTTTGTCGGGGGACATCTTACTTCTTCCTTCTCTCTGTCTATACCTGTGTACTCTCATGTTCCGATTAACCCAGCTTCCCCAAATTTCTTTCTTTTTGGTGTCTATATATATGCCGGGATCCGGAGTCATGGATGATCCTGCGGTCCTGTGTCATGGATCGCGAGTCCTGGATCGCGAGTCGTGGCTGTGGTCCTGGATCATAAATCCTGGATGGATATCCTCGTGGATTCATCTTCCCATTATACACACATGCATTTCCAAACATTTGGACTACCTATGTTGCAAATGTATTATCTTTTCAATTTACACACGGCATCTATTGCACGTCTGTCTGTCCTGGGAGAGGGATCCCTCCTCTGTTGCTCTCCCTGAGGTTTCTCCCATTCTTCCCTTTAAACTGTGGGTTTTCTCTGGAAGTTTTTCCTTGTACGATGTGAGGGTCTAAGGACAGAGGGTGTCGTATTGTCATACTGATATTCTGTACAAACTGTGAAGTCCACTGAGACAAATGTAACATTTGTGATATTGGGCTATATAAATAAACATTGATTGATTGATTCCTGATTTGAGCTTTGATGGACTATCTACAGTTGGTCTGGGACTGGGACTGAGACTGAGACTCTCAAATTTGTGAATGAAGAATTTAAGATCATTTTTTAAAAGCGTGGCTTAATGAATTTGTGTTGGAAAAAACATTGTTTTGCCTGTAGTATCCAAACCTTAAATGGAGCAGATCACTGCGTTAGTCTAGTAAAAATATCATGAAATAAATCACTTTTACGAAACAACTATACAAATTAGTTTCAGTTGAGTGTTTACCCTGGCATTGGCTGGCAGTCCCAGTGTGATGGTGGGCAGTGTGGAGGGACTCTGGATGGTGAAGTTAGCCAGAGTGCCGTCTCTGAGTAGCAGCCTCTGCGCCTGTAGATGACAAACATCCAACACAGCACCTTTATCTTCAAATCCAAACTTAGCATTAAAGACATGAGCTGGTTATGTATCCTATAAAACATATGTTAAACTCATTTAAATAATTACATTTAAATCGTGTTACACTAAACTGTAAATGTAAACATTATAATATCTTAAAATAAAGAAATATTCAATTTAAACTTCTAATTTAGTTTTTATTGTTTAAAGCATTACATAATTATTTGGCCATACTGCTCCATTAACTTGTTTTATAACATGGCCACACATGTCAAATGTCATGTTATAAAGCCTATTGCATTGAAAGGGGTTTGCTGTCTCGACACTGTAGAATGACGAGTCAGCAATCTGCGGCAGGTGTGACACAGCAGGTTGAGTGGTTGTGATTAAATGAATAATGTATGAACAGCTGACAAACTCAATGTGCTCCAATGTCGTTGTTTTAAACATTTCATTACTCAGCATCTGGGTGCAGCTCATTGGCATGGTCGAACCGTGTACTTACTTGCTTAAATCGTTGTTTAATAAAGAGTCTGTCAGATTATTAGATTTTTCTTTTTATCTATCCATTTCCTCTGATTTTGTAAATATTTAAAGAGAAACTTCTACTTGAGTGATGTACCTTTCTTGTTTACGGTAAAGAATCCTAAGTAAATGCAATGTTTAGAGGTGTATTCTGCACTACTAACTGCCTACAAATGTAAACTAAAATAGACAAGGAGAAACTGAGAGCAGGATGCATCTGGCTCAGATGAAGATGACTTTATCTTCTAACACTATGCGCATGGACTTTTTGGTATTAAGTAAAAGTACTAATACCACAGTGTAAAAATACTCTGTTACAATTAAAGATCCTGCATTTAATATGTTACTTAAGTAAAAGTAATTAAGTATAATCTGCTAAATGTACTTAATGCAAAAGAAACCTAAATGTAAATAGATTCCAATAAGCTACAACTCAGTCTGCCAACTGATCATATGTCTAATCATGTAGCTTTAACTGTATAAACTGTTGGATATTTAAATACATAACAAAAATCTTTAGTTTTTTATGCAAAAAGTCTTGATTATTAAAGTAACTAGTAAATACAGCTGTAAGATAAAATGTGGTGCAGGACATGTACATCATTATCCTTTGAATTGTAGGAGTATAAGTATTTAGTGGCATGGAAAGAAAATACTCAAGTAAAGTACCTTAAAGTGGAACTTCAGTAGAATACTTGAGTAAATGTACTTAGTTACTGTCCATCACTGTGTTTTAGTTGGTTTTATTGTATTACCAACAACATGTTTGCTGCTCACCTCATGCGAGAGGCCGCCTGCAGAGGGCAGCATCCCGTTCTCATTGGGCAGGCTGTCGTTGGGGGAGCTGCAGCCGGAGGCCGGAGTGCTGCTGCTGCTGGGGGACGAGTCTGCAGGGAGACAGGCAGTGTGGACAATATGGTTCTGCATCTTTATCATATTTCCATTATATTACATTTGATCAGATCAGCACATCATTTCTTAAAATAATAGGAGGAAAAAATGAAAAGTCACTGAATAACACAGTATGAAATAACATTCATGCATCAGCACTCAGATGTGTGTGAGTGTATTTACCCAGTGTGTCAGGCACTCGGTGCCTCACAGTGGCTGGAGCGCTCTCTTTGCGGGTGAGTGGGCTCTTGCGTGTGTTTAGGTGTTTCTTCAGCTTGTGTTTCACCTTCAGATTGGGCTCTGACGCTAAACAAATTAAAGCAACAGGGGGAATGTTACTTCATGCAATTTCTTGCCAACCATAAAGTTGACCCTAAAAAGATGACAGGCTGTGATTACACAAGAAAAATGTGTCTTTTATTTTGGTTAGTTTATCAATGCTGCAACCCTTTTGTATGAAGTAGGGAGTCGGACGAAAGGTTCCGAAACAACTGTTCAAACACAGTAACAAGTTGGTAGGGAAAGACTGAGACTTGCCATTTCAATAATAACATTTTCAATTCATACTTTTTAAATTTCTATCCTGAACATTTGAATGAGTCTGACTAAGTCACAGTGACGGTTGGATGTTAGATGTTCACCTGCTCTGCGCAGTGGCGTCCGTTCTGATCCCTCAGAAGGCTGAGATGGAGAGGAGCCCGGGCCCTGGGAGGACAAACTGGGGTCTGGGCCCAGCTTTCTGAAAACACAAGGCACACACACAATTGAACATACAACCATTAGGGCGTAGAAACAGGGGGGGCATGAGGACGTGAGCAAGTCATTGGTAGAAGAAGGCTTTAAAAAGAAATATCAATATTGGCCAAACATGAGCAGGGCCTTTGGTTTGTTACATACACATAATTTTAGCACGTCATACATTTACCTAAGTCTAGTTGCAAAATGCAGGCGTATCAGATATAGGCAAACATCCAAGTACTTTCCAAGTGAAAAATCTTCAAATTCAGATTTTAGAGTTGACAAGGAATCAAAGGGCAATTTAAGATTGATCAGAGTGTGGAGTGTAGATATAGACATGTTTTATAATCAATGTGTTCATGATGTATTTTTGTGTAGTGTTTTGATAATCCCCCTTTGTGCTCAGTTGATATGCATTGTGTGTTACCTGTAAGCAATAGGAGTTCCATTTAGCGTGTTGGAGGTTGTTCTCTCCAGCGCCTGTTTCTGCTTCTTAAGAATCACTTCCTGCAGCTTCTGTTTCACCAGGGAACTAGCGACTGCACCTGTCAATCAAAAACACACACTCAGACGAAGGACACACCTACTGCTTCATCACAGTTATAAAATATAGGTCAAAGATCACAAGAACAATACTTAGGAGAGCTTATGTAGAGTATGGATACATTAGTGTGGGATGAAGGGTTAGGTCACTGCCATCTCTGAAGCCTCTATCACACATATTTCCCAGTCAATGACTGGGATCACCTCTAAGGCAGCGTTGGGGATTTCCACTACTCACAGATGCCCTATATTCAGGAACATTTCCTTAATGTGCCTTTCAACACATGCCATGGCAGGACAACCAGTAGAAGTCTGTAATAAAAATCATTCAAAGAAAAGTAGTAGTAGAAGAAGAAAAAGAAGAAAGAGAAGGAGAAGACTAGATGTATGTGTATGTATGGCCAATGCTACAGTGACCATACATGTCAGCACAAGATCATGTTAAATTGGTTTGATTGTTGATTTGTAGTCTGCATCTCTCAATAATGGCCAATGGCCAACGGGCCAATGCGAGACTCAGCAGTGACTAAGGAAGCTGTCTCTTATTACTTTCAGGAACATAGCTAGCAATACTCTTGTAATGTATTTATTTCAACTTAAGACAATTAACAAGTACTGGCATGTTGTGATTGGTTTGCTTGCTCCATGTGACGGAGACGTAGACCTTTAAGTGCAAGTCTCTGTAATGTTACTGTTTTATTGTACTGGCTGAGGTTACCAGGTCTTGAGGTGGGAAATTGGCAGTACAGGATTTCTCTGAATATGAATCCCTGCTGTTATTCACACATGACCCCAAGCAGGAAATGTTCCCGGAAATGTCAGTGTGGAAGGGACTTTATGTTTGCTGCAATTTCAGTGTGTGCCGTTGTGTGCACACGGAGGTGACAGGAGGTGCTAGGAGTGATCAAGTCAATATTGACCCAGTGACATTATTTGCCCAGACCTAGCGCTAAATTTAACTCCACTGTTGTAGCTCCACTTGTCATGTTATATTTAGGTCTCATCTCAAAGCAAAGCCAGTTGAAAGTGGAGTAACACCGTTAAATAAAGATGAACATGAACTCTTACGGGGACTTTCCTCTTCGGTTAAGATTAGCACTCTGGGCCATAATTACTTTTAAAACCATGGAAATAGCTTTATATAGCGCGCAGTGGATATTCAATTACAACTTCAGATGTAAACTGAAAGGCGTAGTAACATACTCAACGTTAAATAAGTGAGTGACTCACTCTGTTGACTCTTGTCTTTGTGCTTTAGCTGCTGAAGCTCATGCTGTTTCTCGTGGTGCTCCTGCTCTCGCCTCCTCTGCTCCATATTAAACTGAAAAGAAACACATTTATTTATAGCAACATAATCTATGGACCTTTTCCAAACAAATGTGTCTTTATTCAGAGATTTAATAAGGTATGTTATCTTTTACATAATTTACCCGAATGTGCTGGTGCAGTTGCTGTTGTGAGAAGGAGGTGCGGGGCTGAGGGGAGAAGGGGGTGAGGAGTAGAGGCGGGTGCAGAGGGGTGAGGAGCGCCGTGTCCGATCCAGGGCGCATCCCCCGCTCTCCCACCCTGAGGTCCATGGGAAACAAGGCCGCACACGACACCGGCACTGCTACCGGGGAGTCTGGGGAAAGAAGGAGAGGGTGGTGTCAATTTGATTCATCCCTAACAAAGAGCGTGCATATACACAACACTACCACAAACCCCACCTGGGAAACAATGTAAACAGAGGCTAAAAAAACCATAGTTTTGAGTACAAAAGAATGATGTGATAAATAACTAATAGAAAAAGTATATAAGCAGACAAAGCTCAAAATGTTGTGTTATTGTTGTAGATCCACTTAAAAAAAATTGAAGATCATTGAATTATCTGACACAGTAGACTTATGTTTCAATTGAATATACTGTGACAGAGTAAACCTAACTTAAGACAAGACAGTCTACTGGGTAAACTATGTTTCAGTCATCATGATTACAATAAATTCAGAATGAAAATAATGGAGAATAATATCCCTGCCATTGTCACGTAAAGGAAGTCGATGAATGGGATTTTTTTCGGCGCTTTTATGTTTTCTTAAATCCCAAAATCTCCTTAACAGTTTTTTCACACTTTGTTGTCCTCCTCTGTAGTGGTTGCTTGTTTATTCATTGTTCCTTTCCTGTTTTGTTTAAGGTTTCTATTTTGTGTAGTATTTTTCTATTTATATTGTGTGCTTAAAAAACATTTGTTTAAATATATGAAACAGTTGTAAAGAATATAAGGTCTAAAAATATATATTTTTTAATTTGGTGCTAAATTCCTTCTGTAATAGAAAAACCATTTATGACAAACATTTGCAACATTATTAGCCCAAAATGCTTTGGCCAAAATGATTTGAAACCAACAAAGTAACTTCCTGACAGCAATTACAAACTGCAGATCAAACTAAAAGAGATCAAATGGAAATGTACATGTTGAGACAGAGAACATTTGCAAATTGAGAAGTTCTTTCTTTATTTTACTTGTGTGAGAAACTCTATCGCTAACTCCGTCTGACACACACACACACACACACACACACACACACACACACACACACACACACACACACACACACACACACACACACACACACACACACACACACACACACTACAATAAACCAGCAAACACTCGCACACTTCCACATGTGTTACATTCATACACAGCTGCACACACAAGACAGGCTTGAGCAAACACCTATTGCACAAACCTGCCTCAAACCAACACTTTACAACACACACAGAGCGGGCCTTGAAATAACTCTGTGTGACATCATCTCCGTGCTGCTGTGCCTGGCGCTCAGATGTCAGGCTGCAGTGTGTGAAGTAAATGTCACTCATTGAGGGGCTTGGCCTGATGCCAACAGCAGCACTGGAAATGGCTGAAAGGGGATAGAAAATAAAATAATATACAAAAGAGGGATATGTGTGTTGTTTCTACTTGTGGAAACACACAATGAGCTTGAGTTACTGGTCTCATTAGCATCCCTGCTTTGGGTCATGTGACACAGCAGCGTGTGTGTGCAGTATCAAAACTCCTCCTCCATATTAGGAGGTACGAATTCACAGAGACAGTCTGAATGCCGGCCGTGGCAGGAATGACAGAAATCCTCTGGCAAACATACAAACACACACCAGCAGCTATGTACACACATTCTCTATAATGACAGCAAGGAATAACAAAGCTATTATTCTGAGGAAGAGGAGAGGAGAACATGCTTATACAAGGAAACAAAGGCTGCTACAGTACAGACAAACACACACCGTCGGGAACACCAGTCTCTTATGCCTTGCCTCCCAGGGGTTATAAATAGCAAAACATACACTAGTCCAACATTTACCTACACAGGGCCTTTTGTTTCTCGAGGGGAAAGCACACACTTTTAGAGTAACCCAGTAATGTCACCTCCAGTTTCCAGTTAAGCCGACAGAAATGGATGTAATAATGAAAGTGCTGAGAAAACAGGGTAAAAGGATTTAGCAGTAATATTATTAAGTATGCCATATGGGTGCCCCCTTTTTTTAAATAGGTCATGTTGGTTTTCTTTTCGTGATTCTTTGTGAAGAGACTCAGTTTTAAATTTCTGTAAATCATTGATTAAAGTTAAAGAATTGGTATGTTAGTCAACTAAGAATGTATTGTGTTGAGGAGGGCTCTAATATGTAAACAAAGGTGAGAGCGTGAGTTATAGACTAAACACCAGTTTTCCTTTTTTTTTTAAGTCTTAGTCCTTTGGTCCTTGTACTTGGTACTTTTGATCATAACTAGTACAATAGTCCTGTTTTTTAAGTTGTAGTTGTTAATAATGTCTTGGCATTTGAGGACTATCTTGATGGAAACTGTTGACATTTATTTATCTGATTATACAGAGTATTACGTGTCTTCTAATTTCAGTGTATTTAATGTCAGTGCTGCTCATAATAGCTTCATCTTGGAATAAATGTGTGAAGACAAACTTAGTCATAGTTTGTCTTCACAAATGTAGCACTGCTGTAAAGAGGTTTCTCACTTAACACTGTGTGTTCTAATAATTTAGCAAATGTCTCTTTGCTGTACATAAAACTGGGTCCTTCAATACAGAAATAATGCGTCTGACCACAGAGCCACCCTGCTGCAGTCAGTGGATGTATGAGGTCTTTCAGAATAACTGATAATAACAAGGTTCCCATGTAGCCAACATGACTTTAAGTCCAGAAACAATGTAGTGGTTAGGTCGCTGGACCTTTGCGACCGCATTTAATCCTTCCACAGTCTTCCTCTCCTGGGTCTCTCCGAGTAATGTGAGGCTGTAATGTTTTTAGTTCTGTTAAACAAGGATATTATGTCAAGGTTCATTACATCTGCGTGCTATACTCCGGGAAGAATAACACATTTTGACCCTGTGGTTGTGATTTTGTGTTGCTTGCATTTAAATAGCACTGTTTTCATGTGCAGAAAAAAAATATGGGAAGGCATGTACTGGAATAACACACAAAAGCATGCGTGCACGTGCAGACACAGTACCAAGTCGATGACTAAATTCTGTGATGGTAGTGTAGTTTTTTTTACACTGGTTCTCGGGGCTTGAGAACCAGTTGTCCCTTAATATTCCTTGATAATGTTCTTGATGATAATGTAATCATTTGTACACAACTATTCTGCGCTGAAATCGACAAGAGATTAGCTTTATAACAACACAGACCTGCTTGGCAAAATAATGGCGATAACATTAACAAAGCAAGGTTTCATTAAGTTACCGGTACATTAGTATCTGTTTAAGATTTATTCTTTAACAATTGCGTTTGTTTTTCATTATGACATTATTTCATACATTTTAAAAATCAGTATGCAACAGCAACAAAAGGAGTGTACATAGAATTACATGTATTCATTTTTGTTTTTGACCACCGTATAAAATTGGGTATAGAGACTCATGGAACTTCACTAGAGTTGCCATAATATACAAAAACATTGTTGTAACTCTAAAGCAATGTAAACAACAGTTAATTAGAGAGACTGTTCAAGTGTTGTAGCTGCTCAAGGTGTGTCATTTTGGACCAGGTGCTGTGCGTTGTGTTATCAAAATGCGATTGTTGTAACCGCAGGTCTAGTCCTCTTGAAACAGTGTGTGTGTGTGTGTGTGTGTGTGTGTGTGTGTGTGTGTGTGTGTGTGTGTGTGTGTGTGTGTGTGTGTGTGTGTGTGTGTGTGTGTGTGTGTGTGTGTGTTTGAGAGAGTGTGTGTGTGTGTGTGTGTGTCTGTGTTTGAGAGTGTGTGTGTGTGAGTGAGTGAGTGAGTGAGTGAGTGAGTGAGTGAGTGA